CCGCGAGGCACACCTCAACCCCGTTCCCACCTCGACACACCAGTCCGTCTCCGCCTTCACCCGCTCCATCCCGCTGTATCCATTCTACCGAGGTTTCAGCATATCCATCGTGGGCATGATCCCGTACGCGGGCGTCTCCTTCCTGACGTATGGGACGCTGAAGCGGCATATCAACGAGTTTGTGCCCTACTTCCGCGAGAGGAAGACCCAACGAGATCTCTTTTGCGGTGCAGTTGCTGGAGCGGTCAGCCAGACGGCGAGTTACCCCTTCGAGGTGATCAGGCGGAGGATGCAAGTGGGAGGGGTAGGAGGTGGTGCAGGTATCAGCTGGAGGGATGCCGTCAAGACGATCTACGGGCAGCGAGGCTGGAAGGGGTTCTTTGTGGGACTGAGCATCGGCTATGTGAAGGTGATCCCGATGACGAGGTAAGTTACCCGCATGGCTGTCTGCTGGTCAGGACGGATCCTAACGAGCAGTATCTCATTTGCGACATGGCAATTCATGAAACGTGTCTTGGAGATTTGATTGTTGTACATATACGTTCCCAATCCGCATGGACCTGTTCATACATGTTGCAGAAAGTTTTGGGCCGCACCGAAAAGTGGAAGCGGTTAAACTCGATGGGTTTAGCCGGGGACGAAGGGATTCCAACCTGCAGATGGCAGTTGACAAGAGTTTTGCTGATTCCACTTTCGCTCCCTTCTTCACACTTCACCTTGCATTGGAAGACCAACACACGATGACATGTCTTTCCCAGCGACGGTCAGTCAGATCGTATCGGGCCGCAAGAGGGTGAAGAAGGTTTCGAAGCCGCGACCGAGGAGTCCAGATGGAGTCCAGGACGATCAGCCTCCAGGAGTAGGAGTGGGCGGGCCGATCTTGGATATAGGAAAGGATGGGAGTGCTCGTCTGGTGAAGGAGGCGGGACGATGGAAATGGGACTGGCTATTGAGCAGAGATCAGAGTGAGTTGTGTGACGTGGTGTCTTTGACGCCATGGACTCACCCGTAGGAGGACGTATCGAGGTCAAGGACGACGCCGTCTTGCTGTTTCCCGGGATGAAAGAGGCAGAACCATCGCCTGCCCAACTCACCGCTGCGGAACTGCTGAGTGCATCTGTAGGTAGCGGATTAGATCAGCCAGGGTCCTACATATACCGCTGTATTGACACGCAGGATAAATACCTCCAAACGATCTTGGACGATTCGTCAGACTCAGAGCCATACAATCACCTCGCCATCCGGGACGTCCTGTCCGACAGCCTCATCGCGGATCTGCTCGCTGAGCGCGGGAGCAAGCACCGCGTCGACGTGTACGATGGCGACAAGGTTGTCGTCATACAGAACCCAAAAGCGAGGGTCGCTAGAACGGTACTGGGATTCGTGACTGGTGTGGTCGGTGACCAGCTCAGTGGGTCGGCCATCTATCCAGGCGTCTGCTCTGGGTTATGTTTCCCGATATGAACGCAACTCATCTTAGATCTGTCCCCGATACTACCCGCGCCTGCTTCCTTCTCACGGTCCAACGGGATGCGGTTCGTCCCTCTGGCCGAGTCATCGCTCGACTTCCCTACGCCGATTCTGCAAGTGTGCGCGTCTTCAGCAATTTCACCTAGCCGACTGGACCGTAAGCCTCCGCTCCCCTTGCTGGTGATTCACAACTCATACTAGGCGATGCATCTTCCCTCGTCGTACGAATACAGGCCAGCACCCACTTGTTCCACGTCTATCCCTCAGCCAACTACGTCTCCCACACCAGCTTACCGGCCGTTTCCATCGAGCAAGTCGCGGTTATATCGACCCTCACCAACCTCGAGGAACGGGCGAGTCGGCATGTGGATGTCGCTCTGCATCCTCTTGAATTTGGCAAAGTGCTCGTTGTTGACGAGCTGGGCGCGGTATACTTGTGGACGGAGCGGAAGGTCGAGAAAGCTGAGCGCCAAGTAACACACGTCGACGTGACCAAGATCCGGGACTCCGTCACCTCTCAGCGCGACTCGTTCTTCCGGATCGCATGGGGGACCCGACCTGGTACTGCCCTAGTCATGTCGCGCACGCAGTTGGTCCTGCTCGATCTGGAAGGAGACGGTCCGCCGGAAATCATCCTTGAGCTCAGGGGAGACCGCAGGATGTTTACGAGCTTGGATAAAACGGCTCTGGAAAGGGGGGCGACGTATACGGTGGTATCTACCACCTATGAGGTGATTTGGGTGGACGAGTGTGTGTCCGGAACACCAGTCCTCAGCTGGACCCATGACTATGGTGCGGGCAGGTTGAAGGACCTAGAGGTGAAGGCGATCAGCCATGAGGCGCAAGGTGGGATAATGTGTACGGATCGATCTGACCGCAGACGCTGTATTGCTATCTTCCAAGAGCGAGGATATGATCATGGTCTTTCACGTCCCGGCTCATCCACCCATCTCTGCGACGTCGGCCCCGTATATCCTCGAGGCGCCTCCTTCGGTCATGCCTCTTTCGTCCTTGCTCTGTCTGAAGGTCCAACGAGGGCTGCAAGAGAGACGCGCCGGCGTCGTCTTATTAGGCCAGGCTTCCAACGGCGATCTCTGGTCTTTACCGTTGTCCGATGCGAACGTAGAAGATGAACGGAATGGTCCGAAGCTCAGAGCCAAATGGAGTGAGGCAGTCGAGGCGCTGTCTAGTACTCGGAACACGCCGAAAGGGGACCTGCGTGGGGGGATGGAACCCGACGTGGCTAGCACAGCCTTCCAGGAGTGCGATCTGCAGGAGGTGTGGCGAGGTGAGTGTGATGATGTGGAATGCGACCGTTCCTGACTGTGCAGAAGTCAATGCTCAGCCGAACGACGATGTGGAGAACTTTGAAGTCGCCGAGTTTCAAGCATACCTGCGGGAGCTTGATGCGCCCTTTGAGCACTTGATGACAGCGTGAGTGGATGTCATTTGCGGCTGGGCTGTAGCTAACGGGTAGTGGCGATCTGGCGCGCGATCTTATTCACGGACAGACAGACCACACCCGTTCAAACCTCCTGCGACCGTTACACACGCAGTCGGATCTGTCTGCCGAATTCGACAAACTTAACATCGGCCGACACATGCCTGTCATTGCGCGCCATGCACTCGCCACTGAGGACCCCGAGTCGACTTTCCCTGCCCCACGTGTTCCCGGCCGACCCGAAGTCGCCCAGCGACATCATTCTGACGTCCAGCGCTTGGCTCTAGACCTGACGCTGGCTCGGACGGTCATCAACTCGGACGAGATCGTCCAGCCGTATAACGATTCGCAGCAGAGTCAAGCGACAGAGGTGGACTCGCCCGAAGACCTGTTTGCCCAGGCAACCGGCGCGTTGAGTCTCAACGAGAGGGAGCCTTCTCGGATCCGTTTCTCCTACCTCAGCTCTCGCGCTTCGTCTTTGCCTAACACGCCGGCCGACTCGGCCGAGCCATTGCAGTCGTTACCTGCGAGGGCGTTGCTCGAGGAATGGACCATTGGTGCCGATCCGGCCGAGTATCAATGGAAGCCATGGACTGGCGAGGCACTTGCTCCTCGTGCAGATGATTCTCCGCGACGTCCCACGCAATCTCAACGTCCTATCAGACCCCTCCCAGGGCTCGGCACCCGATCCCCTGTCAAGCTCAGGCCGACAATATCTCAACCCCTGCCACCCACTTTGCGGCCGGCCGCGAGCGTACCGGTGATCATGACCCTGCCACCTGCTATTGCGAGGTCCTCGCCTCCGCCCGAGTTCTCGAGGGATATTGGTGGGAGCCAGGATCTCGGGGGGTTGAGAAAGTCCGGCAGCATGGCGAGTCTGGGTGATGCAGGGTTCGCGCAGACTCAAGTCGAGCCTGGGCGGTTTGGCGGCAGGACAGGCGGGACGGGGAAGAAGAAGGTGAAGAAGCGCGCGGGCGGGTTTTAGCGTGAGCATCGTGGGTACAGGTTCATAGTACTGGTATAGAAGTAGATCACGGGTGTAGGCATATAAACTCATCTGGGCTCCCTTGTAGTGTATCTTTATGTAATATCGATGATCTCGATGGTGCGTGGAGAGGGTTTCTTCTCACTCGCCTCTCCGGATGCGCCGCGGCCCGCATCGCGATACCGGGGTGATTCAGATGGCAGGGGAGTATGCATTTATACGGCTATGTTCATAGCATCAGCAGGCGGGCGAAAGGTGCGTTCGTAGAACCGCGATTGGGGGGGGTTGTAGGGAGCGATGCGCCAATGCGGTCCGTCCCTAATAGGATCTGCAAGGACTTGAGGGGTCGAAGTGCCGGATTGTCGTCAAGGAGGTTAGAGAGGAAGGATTAGCGATGTGCTCGGCCTATTCTGCTGGTCGCACCCCTGCTCCTCTCCCTGCCTTCACCGTGGTACCGACCTTCTATGCGCGTAACTCTCCAAGAGCCGTGTAAGCTTCATCAGTGTTCTGGGTGGCACGGGCTCAAGTCCGAGGGGAACGCGGCACTCCTGCGCCTGACCTTCTCATCTCTTGGGGTTCTGGATCCGACACGCTGCTCACGTAGCGGTTTTGATCACCTGGACAGACCGAGAGAAAAAGCAGATACGGTCGGGATGGGGTGGGGAGTGCGAAGATTCAACCGCTGTGGGCGATATTCGCCGGCCGGAAACCCTGTTCTATAGGACCGAACGAAACACCGACTACATTCGATTCTCGGCTGGGAGAACGGGTCAGTGACCTCGGTCTCGTCGCCGAAAGACCACCGAACATGTGGTGTGACATCTCAACGAGTTGATGCGTCGAGATGGCTTGGTGGCTTCCGAGGCAGGGGTGGCCGCCTGATCACAAATCGTGTAATCGGGGAGGTCATGCGGGCTGCAGCCTACAATCAACCATGACACCACCGGTCAGACGTCCACCACCCATCCCCACCTCTACTGACGACCAGGGAGGGACGTGAGATAGGTAGGGATCTGCGGTTACATTCGGGAACATGTCCAATCGCACGCCATGCGTATATAATTTCTGCAAGGGGAACCAAAAATTGTTGGTGAAAACTGCTCCGCCCGCTTGGCCCAGTGGTAAGGCGTTGGACTTCTATGATTTTGTGATCGATAGACATCCAAAGATCACGGGTTCGATCCCCGTAGTGGGTTCACTTTTTGCCTCTGCCCCCCCCCCCTTTACCCTTGATCTGGGTGTTCTCGTACCCAATGCACGTGGGGACAGAGCATTTGCATGACTTGAGTGGGCGTCCGGGGTGTAGGAGGAGTTGTTGGGTAAGTGATAGGCCGATTTACCTGCTGCTGTACTCGATTCTCTTTTTCCGCTGCTCGATGCGGGGTGACAGTCGATTGCCACATTCGTGCAAAAAGAGGGGGTGGACGGTGGTCAGGTGGGGTGGCGAAATGACCCTTGATGGCCTGTTGGGTCTTGCCGGATTGGGTAATTCCATGTGATAAATACCTCGAGTATTCCGTTTTGACGCGTTTTTTGACTTGTGGTTGTATGATAAATTTTGTAATGACCAATACACGGTGCATCCCGAGTCGACCCGTGTGCACGGTGGACCCCATCGGCATGACCCATCGCTCCACAACATTACCTCGCCCTCGGCCTCCCCCTTCCCCCCCCCCCTCTGTTGCCCTGTTTCTCATCATCATCCCACGTATCACTTGCCACCATAAACAATAACCACCACCTCACTACATCACCTACACCACCCACGATCATCAGAAGCAAGCACGCTTATTGTCTCATACACTACCCCATCCATCCACGACTTGCAACTACCTATCCCCGACTTGACATTGTTGAACCCCCCCTCCCCCCCCCCCCCCCCCCATCCCAACCCACACCCCCGCTTCTCACCATGTCGACCACGACGGCCGTCGCTCCTCGACTACTACGCCCTCGACGACCACTCGCTCCACTCCCTTTATCCCACTTCACCATCGCCCCGTCCAACGCCTTCCCCTCGCCCGTCTCATTACCGCTCAAACGACCCGCGTCCTCCGCATCCACATCGTCTTCGGCGGGACCGAGTACGCGCGCAAGTACCAGTGCGCCAGCCGGGTCGGCCAAGATGCGCAAGGTGTCTTATACCGAGGAAGACGGGACGGAGACGGTGAAGCGGACTCGCGTGAGGGACGTCGTCACCCCTCGAGCGAGGAGTTTCCTGGAGAAGGACGATCTGGGATTGGGACGTAGTCCAGCGAGGAGGTTGTTTGTGGATGAACAAGAGGGAAAGAGGTGAGTTATCTACCTCTGGTCCTTTCAACACCCGGATGCCGACCTTTCACCCCCTGTGTCGTTCCTTGACCGGTGGTGGTGCATCCACCGGATAGTCTGTCGCTCGACAGACGGGGCGTGAAGCGACGGATGGGCCTGACGGCCTTTGTCTCTCGGGTCGATGAGCGTTGACTGACAACAGCTATGGCATCACAGGCGCAATAACAGCACCTTCACCCACCGCCTCGGCGGGTCAACGATCACTCGCCCCTTCCCCGCCTATGGGCTCACACCACCCGTCCAATCCTACTAGCGTCGACACACCGACATCACCCATCTTGTCCTCGATACCACTGGAAAACGGGCTGGATATCCACGACCCGGGCTTCATTATCTATTCGGACACATCCCCGCGCCCGGCTCCTTTCCCCCTGACGCCCGAGTCGAGACGCCCCTCTCGCGCGCTCAGCAACCCACCTCTCCTCGCGCTCGACGCTTCTGCCCACGTCCCCTCGTCTCCCGGCTCCGTCTTGTCCCTCAACAGCCAGATTGAGGATCAAGAAAACGTGCCCCCCTCGCTGTCGCATTCCGCCGCTTCGACCCCCAGCAAGTCCCGCTCGAGCTTGGCGAGCCCGACCTCCAAGCGATCCAGTGTGTCAGTCGAGGATGAATGGACCCCGGGCAGCCGATCCAGACGGACCATCGAGAGGAGCAAACTCGGCTTGGAGAGTTTCATCAGCCGGGCGGTTGAGGAAACGGACGATGCCGAGGTGGATGGAGGGGAAGAATTGACGCCAGGGCGCAAGGTCGTCCGGAGGCGACAAGTCGAGTCGGGGAGGAAGATGTTGATGAGAGAAGTCAACCGGATCTGACGAGCGGGCCTCGTCCCAACCCGGGTTGTTTTCTCCTGGTTGCTTGATTATTTGTACACACGCCTTTCTGGGACACCCCCCCATATCCCCCTTGTTGCCCCCAACCCCCTAGTCCCCTACCCTCCAAGCTTGTGCTCCATCGTCTAATCACCTCGTGCTGTTCTTCTTGTTTATGCGCACATTTCTACACCTTGTCTATAATCACCCTCGCGGTTCTTGGAGTCTTACAAGGGGTTCTCGGGGTCACGCACACCCAGTATCTTGTCATATATACCTCGTGCATACGTCACTGGAGCAGATTATGCATTGTATACGTCTTGACATGACAGTATCCAGCCACACTACCGACACGATTGTGAGGGCACGCGCCTTGTGCTTTGCAGTTGCACTTGCAAACACCCTCCTCTCGTCATCACGCCCCTGGCAGATCAGACCGCCGCCGCCGCCGGGGGTGGCGCAGGCACACCACGCTCGATCCTCTCAATAGCATCATCCCGTTTCTCAGAGTCCGCAAACAGAGCTCGGACGAGCGAGATGAGTTCGTCGGTGGAGAAATCGATAAGGGCGCCAGAGTCGAACAGGTAGAGAATGTCCACAAGGTTCGCTTGCTACTCGTCAGCCCAATCGTAGTATAAAATGGGCGCACGCACCAAGAGCTCAGAGACGTAGCAGAACTTTAGCCAGTGCGGGGCGTGAGCAACCACCGTCGAGGGCTATTCATCAGTATGGACAGATCGGGGCAGTCTAAATGCGGAAACCGCTCACTTGACCAGCCTCGACGATGAAGATCTCTTCCAACGGTCTGATCGGTTTGAGAAGCTCGTTGATGCGCTCCGACTCTGTCTCGGTGATGTCTCGCATCTCCAGTATATCCGTAGTGATCCGGAACACTGCTTCGTCGAGTAGATACCCCAATACCGAGAGGTACGTCGTCGTCGGCAAGACAACCTGATATCAGCGTTTGGTTCCAATCGCCACCCTTCACGCCTCAACTCACTTTCAAGACCCGAGAGAGACTGTCCAGCTTGTGCACGACACCCCCGATCGCCTTCTCCGCCCTTCTCAACCCAACATCAGTCCCGACCGCAAACCCGTCCGCCTCATCGATACTCTCCATCAAGCTGTCTTTCTGAGTCGCAATCTGCGTCTCGAGTGCATGATCCGCCATGCCGCGTAACCTCTCACTGACATCGGACCCAGCAGCCCATTCGGCAAACACCCGTTGCAACTCGTCCACACGCGAGGCGAGGTGCAGAGCGTCGTTGTTCAACTGCATCGACAAGGTCGGCACGTCGCGGATTTGCAGCGCGTAGTGCGACGGCAAAATGGACCGGTACAGGTCAAAGATGTCGGTCGCGGATGAGAGGAGGATGTCCGTTGCGAGGGTGAACGAGACGGATGGAAGGCTGGATCTGTCAGTCCGTCACGTTATAAAGGAGGATTCAGCTTACGATGCAGTTTGCACGTCTTGTGCCTCTTTGAGCACTCTCTCTGCAACATCGACCAGCTTGTCGCACGCCCGACTGACGAGAAAAGTCTCTCGTATCACGCGAGTCTCCTCCTTCAGCTCTTTCCGCTTAACGCGGGTCTCAGGCATGACCTCTCGTGCAGGCTCGGCTTGCGGTGGCGCAGACTCAGGCTCATCCCAACCCCAACCTTCCGCTTGAACCTCATCTTTCCGTGGCCCCTGTGGCGGTTGCGCGACATGTGACGATGAGACCGATTCCGAACCTGATCCCCAGGGATCGTCATCGACCACAGCCTTGACCTTGGCGACTTTCTTCCCTAGCCGTTTGGCTTCTCGTGCGGGTTTGGCCAACACAGGTTTTGGTGGCTCCGGGTCCGGCTCGGCTATCGGATCGTCAAAGTCCCATCCGTCCCCTGTGGCCTCGTCCGCACTCGGCGTGGCAGTTCCGTTCTTCTTTGGGATTTCACGAGTGGTGGACGGACCCGCTACAGTCGTATCGAACCCCCACCCATCTTCCGCTTCTTCCTCTGGCGCCTTGGCTCCATCCCCGGGGATATCAGCCGGCACCGACTTTGTCGAAGCCTTTGGTGAATCGTCGAAACCCCATCCGAAAGCGTCATCGTCCTTCTCCACCTCACCTGACGTTTGTTGCGGCTGGGGCTGCCGCTCTGGCTCATCATCCACTTCTACCTCCACCACAATCGAGACTTCCTTCTCCCTCTCAGCCTCTCTTGCCTCCCACCCGCCCCAGCCTCCCAGGACAAGCTTCCTTACTTCTTCTGCAACTCGCCGCCGCCTTTGCTTTGCCCAGGCCTCGCCCGCTTGCGATTCAAAGAAGTGCTTGACAAGCTGCTGGTCGTTCTCCGCTGGCCGAGCCTCCTCGATCTTGAGCGCGAGGTGGACAAGCTCGAGCCATTTGGGTATCGTGGAAAGCGAGGATGGCATCGCTGGCAGGAGGACGCTGTCGAGAGTTGCCTGAAGAGTCGCCGCGCGGACCTCGGACCAGAATGCTTGCACTTCCGGCAGGGAGGTATTTGGGAGCATCGCGGTCTGCACAAATGAGAGGAAACTCGACACGCCGTCCAGCACCGCGGTCGACTGTAGTCGGGGATCGGCGGCGGTCAAACGAAAGACGGTTTGATTGGCTCCACTCTCAGATGTCGCTCTGAGATTTCCGCTCATGAGAAGGGGAATGACGTCGCGCAAAAGGCGTGTCTTCAGATTGCTCAATGCGGAGGATAAACAACCAAAGGACGAAAGAGTGGTGTAGACATGGTCAAGGGAGTAGGGAGGGGGCTTGGACGGCGTTGACGAGGAACCGTCGCGTTGAGGTCGCGGTACTTCAGGTAAGTCGAGTCCTCATAGCTGCCTCGACGTACTTCTAGGTTGCTGGAGGGTGATCCGAGGCTGCACGGTGATAGTCACACCGTTAGAATCGCTCAAAGCGATGGCTTTGGCAAACGCGTCTGTGGTCTGCTCGACAATCATCGATCGGAACAGTTGCAGTCGGTCCTGGATGCTCAGTCGAATATGGCTCCCGGGTCATGGTTCGACTCACATTGGCGAGCTTGAATGCTCGAGTCTC